GGTGTTGAGGGACGGTGGTTCAGGTTTGTGTGGCGAACGACAATCACCCAACGACCGACGCTCACAACTTGGATCCCACCATTAACAAAAAGCAATATTATAGTTATATAACTTTTCAGATGTTTTTAATTCAGTATTTTTTTCAATATTCTTCCAAAATTCAACCACTATATTTCCCTAAAAATCAAATAATACTGGTTTTATGTATTTCCGTATTAAACCTGTAGTCAATTCATGTTCCAGGGCCACTTGGTTTAGCCGTGCATTATCAGCCAATATACCATGGATTGCATATGCAAATTTTGTGTTTGGACCAATCAAATCAATGGATTAACACCATCATATACTGGTATAATATAATAATATATATCTTTCTTTGTGTGTGTGAAGTATATGATATACTTTATTTTCGCTTGGAATTTATTTTCGCTATTTTTGCTGAAGGGATGATTCGTGAAATAAAATCCAGCGAATAAACCTATGCTCCTATATTTGACATTCAACTTGTCAGCAATCAGTGAAAATAAATTCCATACAAAACGCCCCAAAAGTCCTTCAGCGAAAATTAATTCCAGCTAAAATAAAGTATTTCACAGTATTAATACATATCTTTCTTTGTACAACGATAACATAACACAAGCATAAATATGCTCCTAGTTTAGCAACTATAATATTGACAAAGAGGAAAGAAATACACATACATGTACATTGTCAACCCTTGGTGACTTTCCAGAACATTTAATAATTTCGTCAACACCTATATGTGTTTTACCGGTACCACGTACTCGTATATCATCAATTATGATTAGACGTCCTGGTATCGTGAAGCCAAACTCGCGTTTGTACCTAAATAAAAAAAATTGTAATTTTTATATGACGAGTTTAAATTGAGTCTGCCCTTACTTGATTATTGAATACTACAGTTGAGTGCTCTCTTAACGTACCTGTCTGTAAATGATTTTTCAAAATCACCATGACGACAGCTGTCGGCATGTGCTTTGTAATGATCTTCTAATGTTGAACACATCAGAGCACAGTCTGTGCCTTCATAGCGTAAATGTAAAAACGATTCAGTCTCAATGTGTGAACTAGACAAAGAAGAAAACAAATACCAAATGTCAAAACGATTCAGTCTCAATGTGTGAACTAGACAAAGAAGAAAACAAATACCAAATGTCAAAACGATTCAGTCTCAATGTGTGAACTAGACAAAGAAGAAAACAAATACCAAATGTTAAAACGATTCAGTCTCAATGTGTGAACTAGACAGAGAAGAAAACAAATACCAAATGTCAAAACGATTCAGTCTCAATGTGTGTACTAGACAAAGAAGAAAACAAATCCCAAATGTCAAAACGATTCAGTCTCAATGTGTGAACTAGACAAAGAAGAAAACAAATCCCAAATGTCAAAACGATTCAGTCTCAATGTGTGAACTAGACAAAGAAGAAAACAAATCCCAAATGTCAAAACGATTCAGTCTCAATGTGTGAACTAGACAAAGAAGAAAACAAATCCCAAATGTCAAAACGATTCAGTCTCAATGTGTGAACTAGACAGAGAAGAAAACAAATACCAAATGTCAAAACGATTCAGTCTCAATGTGTGAACTAGACAAAGAAGAAAACAAATCCCAAATGTCAAAACGATTCAGTCTCAATGTGTGAACTAGACAAAGAAGAAAACAAATACCAAATGTCAAAACGATTCAGTCTCAATGTGTGAACTAGACAAAGAAGAAAACAAATCCCAAATGTCAAAACGATTCAGTCTCAATGTGTGAACTAGACAGAGAAGAAAACAAATACCAAATGTCAAAACGATTCAGTCTCAATGTGTGAACTAGACAAAGAAGAAAACAAATCCCAAATGTCAAAACGATTCAGTCTCAATGTGTGAACTAGACAGAGAAGAAAACAAATACCAAATGTCAAAACGATTCAGTCTCAATGTGTGAACTAGACAAAGAAGAAAACAAATCCCAAATGTCAAAACGATTCAGTCTCAATGTGTGAACTAGACAAAGAAGAAAACAAATCCCAAATGTCAAAACGATTCAGTCTCAATGTGTGAACTAGACAGAGAAGAAAACAAATACCAAATGTCAAAACGATTCAGTCTCAATGTGTGAACTAGACAAAGAAGAAAACAAATCCCAAATGTCAAAACGATTCAGTCTCAATGTGTGAACTAGACAGAGAAGAAAACAAATACCAAATGTTAAAACGATTCAGTCTCAATGTGTGAACTAGACAAAGAAGAAAACAAATACCAAATGTCAAAACGATTCAGTCTCAATGTGTGAACTAGACAAAGAAGAAAACAAATACCAAATGTCAAAACGATTCAGTCTCAATGTGTGAACTAGACAAAGAAGAAAACAAATCCCAAATGTCAAAACGATTCAGTCTCAATGTGTGAACTAGACAGAGAAGAAAACAAATCCCAAATGTCAAAACGATTCAGTCTCAATGTGTGAACTAGACAAAGAAGAAAACAAATCCCAAATGTCAAAACGATTCAGTCTTAATGTGTGAACTAGACAAAGAAGAAAACAAATCCCAAATGTCAAAACGATTCAGTCTCAATGTGTGAACTAGACAAAGAAGAAAACAAATCCCAAATGTCAAAACGATTCAGTCTCAATGTGTGAACTAGACAAAGAAGAAAACAAATCCCAAATGTCAAAACGATTCAGTCTCAATGTGTGAACTAGACAAAGAAGAAAACAAATCCCAAATGTCAAAACGATTCAGTCTCAATGTGTGAACTAGACAGAGAAGAAAACAAATCCCAAATGTCAAAACGATTCAGTCTTAATGTGTGAACTAGACAAAGAAGAAAACAAATACCAAATGTCAAAACGATTCAGTCTCAATGTGTGAACTAGACAAAGAAGAAAACAAATCCCAAATGTTAAAACGATTCAGTCTCAATGTGTGAACTAGACAAAGAAGAAAACAAATCCCAAATGTCAAAACGATTCAGTCTCAATGTGTGAAATAGACAAAGAAGAAAACAAATACCAAATGTCAAAACGATTCAGTCTCAATGTGTGAACTAGACAAAGAAGAAAACAAATCCCAAATGTTAAAACGATTCAGTCTCAATGTGTGAACTAGACAAAGAAGAAAACAAATCCCAAATGTCAAAACGATTCAGTCTCAATGTGTGAACTAGACAAAGAAGAAAACAAATCCCAAATGTTAAAACGATTCAGTCTCAATGTGTGAACTAGACAAAGAAGAAAACAAATCCCAAATGTCAAAACGATTCAGTCTCAATGTGTGAACTAGACAAAGAAGAAAACAAATCCCAAATGTTAAAACGATTCAGTCTCAATGTGTGAACTAGACAAAGAAGAAAACAAATACCAAATGTCAAAACGATTCAGTCTCAATGTGTGAACTAGACAAAGAAGAAAACAAATCCCAAATGTCAAAACGATTCAGTCTCAATGTGTGAACTAGACAAAGAAGAAAACAAATCCCAAATGTCAAAACGATTCAGTCTCAATGTGTGAACTAGACAAAGAAGAAAACAAATCCCAAATGTCAAAACGATTCAGTCTCAATGTGTGAACTAGACAAAGAAGAAAACAAATACCAAATGTCAAAACGATTCAGTCTCAATGTGTGAACTAGACAAAGAAGAAAACAAATCCCAAATGTCAAAACGATTCAGTCTCAATGTGTGAACTAGACAAAGAAGAAAACAAATCCCAAATGTCAAAACGATTCAGTCTCAATGTGTGAACTAGACAAAGAAGAAAACAAATCCCAAATGTCAAAACGATTCAGTCTCAATGTGTGAACTAGACAAAGAAGAAAACAAATCCCAAATGTCAAAACGATTCAGTCTCAATGTGTGAACTAGACAGAGAAGAAAACAAATCCCAAATGTCAAAACGATTCAGTCTCAATGTGTGAACTAGACAAAGAAGAAAACAAATCCCAAATGTCAAAACGATTCAGTCTCAATGTGTGAACTAGACAAAGAAGAAATCAAATCCCAAATGTCAAAACGATTCAGTCTCAATGTGTGAACTAGACAGAGAAGAAAACAAATCCCAAATGTCAAAACGATTCAGTCTCAATGTGTGAACTAGACAGAGAAGAAAACAAATCCCAAATGTCAAAACGATTCAGTCTCAATGTGTGAACTAGACAAAGAAGAAAACAAATCCCAAATGTCAAAACGATTCAGTCTCAATGTGTGAACTAGACAGAGAAGAAAACAAATCCCAAATGTCAAAACGATTCAGTCTCAATGTGTGAACTAGACAAAGAAGAAAACAAATACCAAATGTCAAAACGATTCAGTCTCAATGTGTGAACTAGACAGAGAAGAAAACAAATCCCAAATGTCAAAACGATTCAGTCTCAATGTGTGAACTAGACAAAGAAGAAAACAAATCCCAAATGTCAAAACGATTCAGTCTCAATGTGTGAACTAGACAGAGAAGAAAACAAATCCCAAATGTCAAAACGATTCAGTCTCAATGTGTGAACTAGACAAAGAAGAAAACAAATCCCAAATGTCAAAACGATTCAGTCTCAATGTGTGAACTAGACAAAGAAGAAAACAAATCCCAAATGTCAAAACGATTCAGTCTCAATGTGTGAACTAGACAAAGAAGAAAACAAATACCAAATGTCAAAACGATTCAGTCTCAATGTGTGAACTAGACAGAGAAGAAAACAAATACCAAATGTCAAAACGATTCAGTCTCAATGTGTGAACTAGACAGAGAAGAAAACAAATACCAAATGTCAAAACGATTCAGTCTCAATGTGTGAACTAGACAAAGAAGAAATCAAATCCCAAATGTCAAAACGATTCAGTCTCAATGTGTGAACTAGACAGAGAAGAAAACAAATACCAAATGTCAAAACGATTCAGTCTCAATGTGTGAACTAGACAAAGAAGAAAACAAATCCCAAATGTCAAAACGATTCAGTCTCAATGTGTGAACTAGACAAAGAAGAAAACAAATACCAAATGTCAAAACGATTCAGTCTCAATGTGTGAACTAGACAAAGAAGAAAACAAATCCCAAATGTCAAAACGATTCAGTCTCAATGTGTGAACTAGACAGAGAAGAAAACAAATACCAAATGTCAAAACGATTCAGTCTCAATGTGTGAACTAGACAAAGAAGAAAACAAATCCCAAATGTCAAAACGATTCAGTCTCAATGTGTGAACTAGACAGAGAAGAAAACAAATACCAAATGTCAAAACGATTCAGTCTCAATGTGTGAACTAGACAAAGAAGAAAACAAATCCCAAATGTCAAAACGATTCAGTCTCAATGTGTGAACTAGACAAAGAAGAAAACAAATCCCAAATGTCAAAACGATTCAGTCTCAATGTGTGAACTAGACAGAGAAGAAAACAAATCCCAAATGTCAAAACGATTCAGTCTCAATGTGTGAACTAGACAAAGAAGAAAACAAATACCAAATGTCAAAACGATTCAGTCTCAATGTGTGAACTAGACAAAGAAGAAAACAAATACCAAATGTCAAAACGATTCAGTCTCAATGTGTGAACTAGACAAAGAAGAAAACAAATCCCAAATGTCAAAACGATTCAGTCTCAATGTGTGAACTAGACAAAGAAGAAAACAAATCCCAAATGTCAAAACGATTCAGTCTCAATGTGTGAACTAGACAAAGAAGAAAACAAATACCAAATGTCAAAACGATTCAGTCTCAATGTGTGAACTAGACAAAGAAGAAAACAAATACCAAATGTCAAAACGATTCAGTCTCAATGTGTGAACTAGACAAAGAAGAAAACAAATCCCAAATGTCAAAACGATTCAGTCTCAATGTGTGAACTAGACAGAGAAGAAAACAAATCCCAAATGTCAAAACGATTCAGTCTCAATGTGTGTACTAGACAAAGAAGAAAACAAATACCAAATGTCAAAACGATTCAGTCTCAATGTGTGAACTAGACAAAGAAGAAAACAAATCCCAAATGTCAAAACGATTCAGTCTCAATGTGTGAACTAGACAGA